TAGGGTTTAGGGTTTAGGGTTTAGGGTTTAGGGTTTAGGGTTTAGGGTTTAGGGTTTAGGGTGAATTTGCAGTTTAGGGGTTTAAGAAAAGACCCCTGAATCCTGAGCCACGCCAGGGGGCGGTGAGGAATGCATTGTCCTGCAATGATTCGACGGTCCAGGCAGGCGCCCTGTGGGGCCCCCCAACCCCCCAAAACCCCAAACCTGAAACCCGAAACCCTAAGACCCCAAACCCTAAAGCCCAAACCCGAATCCCTAAACCCTAAACCCTAAACCCTAAACCCTAAAGCCCTAAAGCCCTAAAGCCCTAAAGCCCTAAAGCCCTAAACCCTAATACCCCAAACCCTAGAGCCCCAAACCCTCGACCCTTCTTGGAGCTTTGGATGCTGTAGCATTCTTTCGAGGAGTGGGGGGGGGGGAGGGCGGGGTTAGGGCAATTCGGTGTCCCCGAACTCGGCAGCTTGGGATGCTCACTTGAACTAAGTTTCCATGATGTGCGAGCTCTATGTTTCAGATCCTCCCATCACCCTAAGCCCTAACTTGAAACTTAAGTTCCCAAACCCTAAACCCTAACCCCTAAACCCGAAACCCTATAAACCCTAAACCCTAAACCCTAAACCCTAAACCCTAAACCCTAATCCTGCTTGTGCCTGCGCCTGCAGGTGATGGAGTCGACGCGGCTGCCGAAGGAGTTCCACTACGACCATGTCTTTGGTTGCGGAGCCACCCAAGAGGCTCAAGGGGTTTAGGGTTTAGGGTTTAGGGTTTAGGGTTTAGGGTTTAGGGTTTAGGGTTAGGGTTTAGGGTTTCGGGTTTAGGGTTTAGGGTTTAGGGTTTATCCCCCACATCCTGACAGTCCTCAATAGGGATTATAGTACCCCCCCCATTATAATCCCTACTAAGGACTGTCAGTATATGAGGGAACATCCCAAGTTTAGGGCTGAGTCCAGCTTCAAAGCGGGTTTGGGGTTTAGGGCTTCTTCTGGCATCCCCTCCCCGTTTAGATGCAAAAGAGGGTTATCCCCTACTGGCTCTTGGTAGTCAAGGGGTTATGTAGGGGTCCATGAGGTGCTTTGTAAGTCAAGGGGTTTAGGACACAGGGCTTGCGAGCCTCTGTCGCACGTGTGTGGCGTGTCGGCCAGTAGAGCTGATCAGGTCGTGCATGCTGCTTTTGTGGCATTCCCTCCCCTGCCTGCAAGCCCCTCCTCGCGGACTTCGCAGGTGGTATTCCAGGCGGTTGGCCTGCACCTCTTGGACAACGCCATGAACGCGTGCGCACAAGGGAGGAGACAGCACCGAGGTTCAGGGTTTCAGGAGGTCTTCCGCCCCAACGATGAAGAATGACCCCCCTTCAAGCAGTTTATCTTTGAGCCTACACTTTGTCATAGTTGGGTACCATTTTGCATTATTAAGGGTACTTAAACCCAATAAGGAATATAATTTTTTTAAGGGTACTTAAACCCAATAAGGAATATACATTTAAGCTTTTAATAGTATCCCAACCATGAACTAGTATGAAGAGAGCCAGCCTTCCTTAGCCTGAGGCTTAGCCTCAAAGTCAACCCCCGCTGCAATTACTAGATCAGTGTTAGGGATCCTTTTTACTTTTTGGGTTATGGGCTTTCTTATATATGAACAAAAAGGATCCTTTTTTCTTCCTAGGGGAACAGGGATTGAGATTAGTCTCGGCGCCAGGTACAACGGCTGCATCTTTGCATATGGGCAGACAGGCTCTGGCAAAAGCCATTCCATCATGGGCGACGTGGAGGACGAGGTGCCCCTCTGGCTGCCGCTATCGGTTTAGGGTTTAGGGTTTAGGGTTTAGGGTTTAGGGTTTAGGGTTTAGGGTTTTCGTGAGGGCTGAGCGTTACAAGGACCAGCCTCGTTCCAAGCGGTTTGGGAAAGTTCAGAGCAGAGAGCTGCCGGCCGGGTTTACTTGGAGGTTCATGGGTAGGTACTTATAAGCAAAGGTAGCTATGGGTCATAACCTTATTTAGGGCACTTATAGCCCAACCTATAACTGCCCATGAACCTTCAAGTCGCTCTTGTTTGCTAACTTGTTGCGGCTCGCATCTTGTGCCCTGCAGCCGCAGCCAGGGCCCTCTACAACCCCCCCGAAACCCTGAGCCCTAGATTCTCGCGCTAAACCCTAAACCCTTTTTAGAACTTGCTGTAAGCTTCCAAGGTTCCAAGTATGGGCCCTTAATTTGGGGCCCATGCTTCGGATCCCTATCAACCCAGAGGGTTGATTTGTAGTACGATCATGGAACCAGGTACCCAAAAACCCTATCACCATGACTTTGGGGCACCTAATTCCATAATACTACGTCAAATCGGAAACAAGGGAAGGGACCACACGAAGTTTGATCCCTTCACCAGCCAATCCTCCCTGAGGGTTTGCATCCAGCCCTCAGGTCCTGTTCTAGAATCCCGTGGTCAGTTCTCTAACATGTGGGTCCTTGTTAAGGCCCTTAGTATAAGGCGGGCCCCTAATGTTAGGTTCTAGACCCCAAATAGAATAGAATCCCTTTAAAGGGACCTCCAAAAAGGGTACCCTGTTCTCGGAAACCCGCCCGTTCAATCATATAAAGGGTCCGCTCCTCCACTCCTCCATTTGGCGTCTCGCGCAGGTGGAGCAGGGAATCCTCCCGCGGGCCTGCACGCGGCTGTTCTCCATGCTGGACTCGGGAATGTTAGGGATCAGGGGTAAGGGTTTAGGTTTAGGGTTTGGGGTTTGGAGTTTAGGGTTTAGGGTAACAAGGAGAGGGAGAGAGAGGACGCCCTACTTGGAGATTCATGGGTGGTGACAAGTAGCGTTATAGAAGTGGGATGACCATAAGTTGTAAGTATAGCCTGTTTAACCCTCTTGGAGGTCCGTATAAGCCTACTTTACATCTAACTACGTACCTACCACCCGTGGAAACGTTCATTTGGTGGACGGGTTGTTTTTGGGGACCATGGGCCGTGCAGCAGCGTCTTCAGGTTAGCGGTTGAATCGTTGAGCCAAGCGTGGAGTTTCGCCGCATAATGGCATGGGGCTCGTGCCAAAGAAGGGCCTTGAAGCAGACCTGGCTACCCTAAACTTAAACTAGCTAGAAGAGCTCCCCTGTCGCTTTTCGCAGGAAGGCCGTCGCCAAGACAAGGGCTTCGAGGCCACGTGGGCTGTCAAAGACAAGAAGCCCGTGTTACCAAGTGTACCTGGGATCGTGCGCGGCTGAAGGCTTGGTAGCCCTGTACCCCTTACCCTGTTCTGCTTCTGGGTTCCCTTATAAACTAACCAACCCAAAAAAGGGTGCCCTTATCATAATCTGGTTGTGGGCTACCAAGAAGGTGTAAGGCTCAGAATTTCCGGTGGCCAGGTGTAAGTAGTGCCCCCCCCGCCCTAGCTGTGCCATGGCCAGGCCACGGTCCTGGCCAGCTACTTGGAGATATACAACGAGAAGATCTTCGACTTGCTGACAGGCATGTTCCGAGTAGTGGTTTAGGGTTTGGGGTTTAGGGTTTAGGGATTAGGGTTTCGGGAGTAGCGTTTAGGGGTCCAGGAGGGTTTGGGGTTTAGGGTTTAGGGATTAGGGTTTAGGGTTTAGGGTTGCACGATGAAGCCCCAAGCCCCAAAAGCTCGTCCCAAAGCCCCTAACACTCCGTGAGGAGTTGAAGTCCTCTGGAGGTCGTGCTGAAGTTAGCGTGTGTGAGTTGCTTGGGTCAGCTTTCATGGTGACCTCACAAATGAAACCCAAGTAGGAAGCCTTCAGACCGCGAAGCCCCGATCCAGACCCGATTCGCCTACACAGGTTAAAACTTGTTGGTCATAGCCACCACTAGGACCCATGAGCCTTTGATTTCTACTTGGCAGCCCAGTGGTACCCTTTTCCCATCTTTTTTAGGGTTCAAGGTTCCCTTATGAAGTAACCAGCCCAAAAACGGGTGCCCCTATTATAAGATGGTTGCTAGGCTACCAAGTCTAAAGGGGGCAAAACAGCTACCCCGGCAGCCGAACCCCACAATGAAAGGAACATGTCCAGCTTCAAAGACCCTAAGCCCTAAACCCAAAACCCTACACCCTAAACCCGAAACCCTGAACCCGAAACCCTACACCCTAAACCCTAAACCCTAAACCCCATACCCTACACCCTAAACCCTAAACTGTAAAGGGAATCTTGGGTTCCCTGCGTAGGTGGCAACCCTGGGGAGCTCCAGGTGTCGGCTGGCCTAGACTGCGAGTCATGCACACCCCTGAAGGGTTAGGGTTTAGGGTTTAGGGTTTAGGGTTTAGGGTTTAGAGTTTAGGGTTTAGGGTTTAGGGTTTAGGGTTTGGGCAGTTTTTGGGATTTACAGGCAGGTTTGAGGGTTTAGGCAGTCTTTTAGGGGTTGCGGCAGTTCTTGGGGGGGGTTTAGGCAGGTTTTGGCTTAAGCTTGACACCTCCGCGAAGGGTTGGGGGCCGCTGGTTGAGTTTTGGGTTGCAGGGTCCCTAAACCCTAAACCCTAAACCCTAAACCCTAAACCCTAAACCCTAAACCCTAGACCCTAGACCCTAGACCCTAAACCCTAAACCCTAAACCCTAGTCTACTGCAAAGTCAAACCGTGCGGCCCCAAACGGCCCTCGGAGCTCTTGAATAGCCACTTGGCCCTAAACCCTAAACCCTAAACCCTAAACCCTAAACCCTAAACCCTAAACCCTAAACCCTAAACCCTAAACCCTAAACCCTAAACCCTAAACTCTCAAACCCGGCCGGAACAGCCCCAGTCAGCCTGAAAGCGCCGGAAAGCCCCAAAGCCTCAAAAAGGCGAAAGGAGCCCCCTCAAATCAACTGAGAGCACTGGAAGACCCCTGTTTAACCCCATTTAACCCACCATTTGTTATTTCTTAGGATTTAGGGTTTAGGGTTTAGGGACATTGACTGAGCGCCTGTGAGAGAGAGAGAGGGTTTAGGGTTACAAAGCCGCCCCAAACCTTAAGCACCACAACCAACCAAGGCGCAACCACCCCGAGCTAGGGCCCATAGTGCCTCACCTCACCGAGTGCCCCGTGGAGAGCTTCGAGGAGGTCCATGTTTTTGGTGGGGTCGGGGGGTTTAGGGTTTAGCGGTTTAGGGTTTAGGGTTTGGGTTTAGGGTTTAGGGTTTAGGGTTTAGGGTTTAGGGTTTAGGGTTTAGGGTTTGGGGTTTGGGGTTTAGGGTTTAGGGTTTAGGGTTTAGGGTTTAGGGTTCAGCATCTCAAGTTCGAGCATTCACTAGTCCAGCAGCTTGTCAAGCGTTGGAAAAAAATCCCACCCACCCAAGAAACCCATAACATTGAGAAAATATAAAGTTCACTCATATTTTCCCGGTAGGCTTAAAGCTCAAAGTCCAATTGGTCCAAAATATTTTAGTTTCTAACGGACCCAAAACCCGAAATCTAATCTAAGGCCCGCAATAAGCCCTTTATGCTCTTAGGGCCCTAAACCCTACGGTTTAGAAGCCCCGATCGGTGAAGGCTCGGTTTTGGTCAAAAATCCAGAAAACGAGAGCCCACCCAGAACCGTCGATTTCAGTACTAAAAAATCGCATTTTTAACTGGGACCCTTGCCGATCCTGGGGTCCCCCTCATTTGGGGTGTTTTGGAGGCAAACTTTCCCGGGGTCTGAGTTTGAGGCAAGGGGGGGTCTCCGAAGACTATTTTGCCTTTAAAACTGGAAAATACGACCCCCCCTTGTGAAAAGGTCGCCGGGGTGGCCCGTCATCAGAATTGAGGGTTAAAAAACCCTGAAACACCCTGAAAAACATTGGAAAACCTAAAAAAAATTGAAAAACTTTGAAAAACCTTTGAAATCCTGAAGCCGGTGAAGCTCGGTTTTGGACAAAAATCCAGAAAGCGAGAAGCCACCCACAACCGTCGATTTCAGTACTAAAAAATCGCATTTTTAACTGGAACCCTTGCCGATCCTGGGGTCCCCCTCATTTGGGGTGTTTTGGGAGCAAAATTTGGCCCTAAACCCGATGCCCCAAACCCTACGAGCCCGAAACCCTATTTGCCGGCGAAGGGGGTCAGGGTTTAGGGCCCCCCCCCGGTGGAAAAAAACCATTTGCCGACGAAGGGGGTCAGGGTTTAGGGCCCCGCCCGGGTGGAAAAAAACCATTTGCCGACGAAGGGGGTCAGGGTTTAGGCCCCCCCCCGGGTGGAAAAAAACCATTTGCCGACGAAGGGGGTCAGGGTTTAGGGCCCCCCCCCGGGTGGAAAAAACCATTTGCCGACGAAGGGGGTCAGGGTTTAGGGCCACCCCCGGGTGGAAAAAAACCATTTGCCGACGAAGGGGGTCAGGGTTTAGGGCCACCCCCGGGTGGAAAAAAACCATTTGCCGACGAAGGGGGTCAGGGTTTAGGGCCCCCCCCCCCCGGTTTTGGTCAAAAATCAAGAAAACAGGAGGCCAGCCAGAACCGTCGATTTCAATACTAAAAAATCGCATTTTGAACTGGGGCCGGTGCCGATCCTGGGGTCCCCCTCATTTGGGCCCCCCCGGGTGGAAAAAAACCATTTGCCGACGAAGGGGGTCAGGGTTTAGGGCCCCCCCCGGGTGGAAAAAAACCATTTGCCGACGAAGGGGGTCAGGGTTTAGGGCCCCCCCCGGGTGGAAAAAAACCATTTGCCGACGAAGGGGGTCAGGGTTTAGGGCCCCCCCCCGGGTGGAAAAAACCATTTGCCGACGAAGGGGGTCAGGGTTTAGGGCCCCCCCGGGTGGAAAAAAACCATTTGCCGACGAAGGGGGTCAGGGTTTAGGGCCCCCCCCCCGGGTGGAAAAAAACCATTTGCCGACGAAGGTCATTAGGGTTTAAATATACATAGTAAGAGAGGGTTTAGGGTTTAGGGTTTAGGGTTTAGGGTTTAGGGTTTAGGGTTTAGGGTTCAGGGTTTAGGGTTTAGGGTTTAGGGAAAGCACCTGAATTCTAGAGCGCCGTTATCGTTACTTCTTGCGGTCTTGCTTTCTCGATCACCAGGGGCTCGGGTTGCGTGAACTGCGAGTGTAGGCCCTGAAGGCTTTGCCTGCAGCAAGGGGAGGAAGGGAGGGGAGGGGAGGGAGGCCGAGAGGGAGAGGGAGAGAGAGAGAGAGAAAGCTTAGTAGCTGAATGAGTACACTTTGCACTTTTTTGGATACCATAATCCCCTATAAACCTGAGAGTGAAGGTGTACACTTTTTTTGGGGGCTTATGAATGGTTCCTTCCTTCCTCCCCTGTGTTGGGTCGCACATGATAGACACTGAACAGCGCAAGCGACTTGCACATGGTCTAGGTCCATTTCAGACGGCTAGCTTCCCCCATATATCCTTTACCTCGCCCTTCGGTAACTTCAGTACCCTGATATACTCCTGATGGAAGCCTTATTGAAACTACCATACCTTTGTCCTTGCAGGGCGCCTAATCTTATTACGTACTCTAACCCCCCCCTCGAAAGCCACAGCCAAGTTCGGATGGCCTATTGTTTAGAGTGTTTTTTGCCATCCCCCTAAACCCTAAACCCTAAACCCTAAACCCTAAACCCTAAACCCTAAACCCTAAACCCCAAACTCCTAAACCCTAAACCCTGAACCCTCATGTGGAATTGCCCCAGCTGTGCAGGAGGAAAAAAAGCCCTCAGGGTTTCCGTGCAATCGATGCGAGCATCAGGCCTATGAGCTGCTCGACTTCGGCGCCAAGCGCCGTGCTGTGGCCGCCACGCAGATGAATGCCACCTCTTCCAGGCATAGGGTTTAGGGTTTAGGGTGTAGGGTTTAGGGTGTAGGGTTTAGGGTTTAGGGTTTAGGGTTCAGGGTTTAGGGTTGAGGGTCTGCAACCAGGCACTTGAGAGAGCCCTGGCGCAAAAGGGCTTAGGGTGCCCAGCTGTCTAAGTAGTGGCCCCTTTTTGGGTACCCTAAGTGATAGGGGCCGCCTTATAATCGCAACCCCAAAAAGGGACCCTATTTTGGAGAACTACCCGTGTAAACTTCAAGGCTTACAAGCCTCGGTTCAAGGGGGCAGCCCTAGACCCTCTTAAGCCCCAGTAGTGGATTGGGCCTTGCTTTCGTGAGCGAATGGCACACGTGTCGCACACGCCAGGAGCGCATGGGGGGGACCGCACGCTTGCTGAGTCCTGCAACTCACTGCCCTGCACACGACGATGGTGTGAGTTGAGCCAGCATGATGATCGCTTGATGCTACTTCTGCCAGGTGCGTATTCTCCGTGCCCCTCCCTCACAGATCCCACACGCCCAACCCCTTCCAACCCCTGAACTCTAAACCCGAAACTTCAAAAAGCCCCCCCAGTCTGAAACCTGCTAAACCCTTGAAGTCTTCAAAGCCCTACTCTTGAAGGTTCGTGCGTACGTATAGGTGCGGTTATAAGCACCCTAAATAACATGGTTGCCCTACTGAGAACCTTACTTATAAGCACCCATGAACCTCCAAGTGATGTTAAAACCCAAGCCCACCAACCCCTAAAGCCTAAACCCTAAACCCTAAAACCTAAACCCTAAACCTGCCATATGCATTGGAGGTCCCACGCAGTCTTCACCTTGCAGGTGGGGCTTTCTGTCGGTGCGAGGGTGTGTTAGGTTTGTGCTGTCATCTGGTTTCCGATTTTAGGGGTGCCTTTTTGGGTTTAGGGTTTAGGGGTACCTTTTTGGGGTCCTGATTATAAGGGGATCCTACTAGTTGGGCGTCTGTTTTTGAGGGTCCCTGTCTTCGTAAACCCCATTCTGGGGCCTTGTTGCAGGAGCTGTGCTAGCCAGTAGTTGCGGCCTCCGAACGTTGCAGGCTGCCACACGCCTTTCAGGGTGCAACTAGAAAACTCCAATAGCCTTGTGAGCGTTGGCGCAGGTGCGAATGGTACTGGCGAAGCCAGGCGGCCATGTCGAAAGCCAGGCAGGCGCCCAAACTTGAAAACCCTGACGCCTGAGCCTTCAGGATCCCAGATTCCTGGTACTCTGTCCGCTGAGCTTCGGTTGTCGACTCTGATTGAAATAGGGTTTGTATGACGAAGCCCTCCTGAACTTGAAGCCGGCGAGTCTCACCCCTAAACCCTAAACCTCACACCCGATTGGGCTTTCTCCAGCGTTCCTCAAGTCCAGTCAGGTAGCCCACGCGTGATCGGGGTCCGGGGCGTGTTAGGGGGGAAGGTCTAAGGGTAGGTATATGGGCCGTTAATATGGTCACTTACCTTCTTAAAAAGGGTTCTGAAGTAAGGGCCCTTGGTTTTCGGGTATACGAGGTGTATATAAGGGGCCCTTTCTATTGGCCCAAATTAGGGCCTCATTAGGGGACCATGTAACTACCCTAAACTAGATCAGTGTTAGGGATCCTTTTTACTTTTTGGGTTATGGGCTTTCTTATATATGAACAAAAAGGATCCTTTTTTCTTCCTAGGGGAACAGGGATTGAGAAAAAGGAAGGGGAGGGGGGGGGGCGTTGCCTGCACTGTGGCAGGCTAAGATCCACTTCGTGGACCTTGCCGGGAGCGAGAGGCTGCTGGCAGCTAGTGCTTGGAGGTTCGTGGTACTTTTTAACGAATTCTAGCTGCACTGATAGCGATACTTATAGCTTATAACCATATTGGGGCGCTTAAGGTGCTTATAAGTGGGTTATAAATGCAGTTGTAGTTGGTTCAGAAGTACGATGAACCTCCTAGTAGTAGGGAATCCAAAGATTGAAATGCAGAGCCCCGAAGTCCAAGTACTAAGCACAAAGCGCAAGAAGGGGAGGAGGAGGGAGGAATGAAGGAGAAGCACGGCGTCCGGTGTCCTTTGCGGTGTACTGTATCAGCTAGAAAGACTTGACATGGTTCATCTGCATGATGTCCTAGCTTGCTTCGCCACTGTTCTGCCCTTCCTGCGTTGCTGCTTGATGCATAAACCAAATCTCTTCATCCCAACCCCCCGGTTAAAAAAAAACAAAAAACAACCTAAACCCTAAACTGAAAACCCTAAACCCAAAAATCCTAAACCCTAAACCCTAAAACCCCCCAAGCCCTGGAAGGCAGAAGAAGTCTGGGGCAGCAGGGGAGAGACTGAAGGATCCTGGCTGGCATCAAGGGCACATCTGTCGTGTTTGTGTTTGTGCACATCAGATATGTATGTACATGTTTGTATGCATTATATATATACATATGTATATATATATATATATATATTTATAGAAGTCATACAAACATATCAGTGTGTATGTATGTATATAGAAATACATATGTACAGTCTTAGTTAAAACTGACATATACACGTTGAATGCATCAAGGACCAAAACCATGTTATTTTCTGGGTGCGTAAGCCTGCACGTGCGGCCACCAAGAGAACCGGTGTTGACTTGAGCTGTAGCCCTACACCGAGCCTTCAGCTTGGGGTTGAACACCCCAAGCCCTAAACCGTCCGAGTGACTGCTTGCATAAGCCCTAAAACCCTAAACCCTAACCACCCCCCAGAAGTCCATCCGAGCTTGCTGCAGAGGAGGGCATCGGCATCAATTTGTCCTTGACGACGTTAGGGCGAGCTCGGGACTGAGATGATTTCTGCTCCAGAACTCAGTTTTGGGTATCGTTTTCAGCTCTACGAGCTGACCGAAGACGCAACCATCCACCCCTGAGAGGATGCCTTCTGCGAGAGCTCGAGGTAGTTCTCCGAGCCCCAAAACCTCAAGCCCTGCCAAGTGACTAATCCCTGAATCCTGCAGCCCCAACGACGGACGTCCAACCAAACCCTCTTCCCAAAACCCAAAACCTTGAACCCTAAACCCTAAACCCTAAACCCTAAACCCTAAACCCTAAACCCTTGAACCCACCAGAAGAACCAAAAGCCAAGGGCTCTTAGTTCAGGTCATCTCTGAGCTTGCCAAGCCAGGGGCGAGGACTCCTGTACAGAATTGTCTCAGGTTTTGTTTAAGGGTCTAGGGTTTAGGGTTTAGGGTTAGGGTTTAGGGTTTAGGGTTTAGGGTTTCGGGTTGAGGTGCAAAGCCCAAAGGGTGCATCTTCTGCACCCGGCCTCCGAAGGTTCGTCCTTTCTGACCTGCCTCCCAGGCAACTCATGGGAATCCATGCTACCGCCAACCTGACTCCGACTCCCAGTAACCTAAACCGAAAATCTTGAACCCTAAGCCCTACACCTAAACCCCAAAAAGGACCCTAATTTAGAGAACTACCCACGCGCTTAGCGCCGTTGTTCGGTCAAAGTTCCCCTGCGTGCCAACTGTTCCGGGCTTCTTCAGGGTCGCTGGGGAGGGTCTTGCTAAAACCAAGAGGGTTTAGGGCATAGGGTTAAGGGTTTAGGGTTCAGGGGTTCATGGTGTAGAAATATAAACCTCCTTCCCCATCTCACTTTCCTTGTAATACCTAAACCTTAGACGTCCAAAGCCCAAAATGCCAAAACCCTACGAACCCCTAAAGTTTTTTATTGCTGCTTCTGTTCTCCCATGAAACATTCAAAACGTCATGGCCGCCCTAAAGATGATGATTTATCGTCTTGTGCCATCTGGGTTGCAGTTGAAAAAGGGTTTAGGGTTAAAACCACAAGGTTGGGCGGAGCCTTACTATTGCTAGAAGCTTCACATTGAGTCTAGCCACCAGATCCAAGCCCTGTAAGTTGTGCCCTAAGCCCTAAGCCCTAAGCCCTAAGCCCTAGGCCCTACGCCCTAAGCCCTAAGCCCTAAGCCCGAAGCCCTAAACCCTAAAGGCCCAAGTAGAAACGCTCTTGCCGGGTGGAGTGCAGGAGCGTTCCCGCCTTCCGTGACTCGAAGTTGACCCTCCTGCTGAAGGACGGCTGCAAAGTTTCTGGCTGGGGGTTAACTAGATCAGTGTTAGGGATCCTTTTTACTTTTTGGGTTATGGGCTTTCTTATATATGAACAAAAAGGATCCTTTTTTCTTCCTAGGGGAACAGGGATTGAGTTAAGGATCCTGGGTTTTATAGGGTCCGGTTTAGAGGATCCTGGGCGGGTGGCAGATAAAATATGGGGAGTAAGACGGAAAGGATCATGATTTGGCGAACTTGCTTGAGCGTGCTGAGCGTCAAGGGTCAGGCGTGGAGACCCAGAGGCCTTAGATCCTCGTCGAAACGCTGCACTTGAATGCTTCCTTTATGCCAACTTGAACAGCAAGTAGGGGAGCAATCCTCAGCCCTAACTCTCCAAACCCTAACCCAGCTGAACCCTCGACAGATGGGACCCCGAGCTCCGCTTCTTGGAGGTTCATGGTACTTATTAACCAGCGATAGCTGGGGCACTTAAGGGGCTTGTAAGTGGGTTGTAGGTACAGTTGTAACTGGTTCATAAGTACCATAAACCTCCAACCCTAAACCCTAAACCCTAAACCCTAAACCCTAAACCCTAAACCCTAAACCCTAAACCCTAAACCCTAAACCCCTACGCTGTCCCAAGCTCCAGGACGCGCTGATGGGCAACAGCCGTACCGAGCTCCTGGCCTGCGTCAGCCCATCCAGCTTCAATCTCGAGGACACGAGCATTCAGCGGGTATAGGGTGGGACCCCTAGAAGGGACCCTTAATCTTGTTCCCTCACATAACTGCTATAACCCCTATAACACATATACATATATGTATATATAGAGAGATAGAGCTATACAGCCCCTATAGACCTAAGAAGCCCCGACATAACCCCTAAATATCCCCGACCCTCCTTTAGTCCTTTGATGAACCCTAACCCAGGGCAATCGCATCAGAAACTTGCGACTGTGGAGCTCGGAACCAAGGAACCCACACCCCCACACCCTAAAACACACACAGCCTTTAGGGTTTAGGGTTTAGGGTTTAGGGTTTAGGGTTTAGGGTTTAGGGTTTAGGGTCAAGCGGGCGCCTCCCAAAAAAAGACTGGGACCGCAGGAGACGGTGAGCACCCTGGAATTCGCCACTCGCTGTGCCCTGGCTGCCACACGCACCCAAATCCTGCTCCCATCTGCTCCCTGTTTTTACCCTGAACCCTAAACCCTAAACCCTAAACCCTAAACACTAAACCCTATTTTGTTTGAGTTTGGGGTTTTCGGGGGTGTTGAGGAGGCCCTCCCCATCGGAGGAGAAGTGAAGTCTTTCTCCTTCTGCTACTGTATCGAAGAAATATTCAGCATGCCCTTCGGACATACCCTTAAGCGAGATTAGGGGTATGGCTTAAAATCCTTCCTTATCTTCTCCCTTTACAGGTTTAGGGTTTAGGGTTTAGGGTTTAGGGTTTAGGTTGGGGGGATGTTGAATCAGACTGTAGCACTGCAGCGAGCGCCGGACTTCCTTAGGGGATTAGGGGCCATCTGAGGGGGGAGGCGAGGCTTTTCATAAGGCCTTGGCGGGTTTAGGGTTTAGGGTTTAGGGTTTAGGGTTTGAGGCTTTAGGCTTTAGGCTTTAGGCTTTAGGCTTTAGGGTTAGGGTTTAGGGTTTAGGGTTTAGGGTTTAGGGTTTAGGGTTTAGGGTTTACAGGACACCCCAAAAGCCCTAGCCCCGAAGAATCGGAGCCGCTGCAGGGTGCATGCTGAACAGTTGCATAGGCTTTTTTTGCGCTTTTGAGGCTTAGGGGAGTTTGGAGCTGGCACTGGTTTAGGGTTTAGGGTTTAGGGTTTCGGGTTTCGGGTTTCGGGTTGAAGTTCTCCAGCGCCTCCAAGCGACCAAGAGAGCCCCAAAACCCGAAGCTCTGCGAAGCAAATCCCCCGGCATGCGGGAGGCAACAAAAAGCCCTAAGCCCCCTAAACCCGAAACCCTAAACCCCAAACCCCAAACCCTAAACCCTAAACCCTAAACCCCAAACCCTAAACCCTAAACCCCTTGAGACGCATCCAAGGCAAGCTGGTGAAGACCAGCGCCATGAAGAACGAGCAAAGCAAGGCTAAAGCCTCGGTCCGGGGGATGTGGGAGGTTGTCAAAGGCAGGTCTGTGGTTTTTTTCGAAGCCCTAAACCCTAAACCCTAAACCCTAAACCCTAGACCCTAAACCCTAAACCCTAAACCCTAAACCCTAAACCCTAACCCCTAAACCCTAAACCCTAAGCCCTAAGCCCTGATGAACCTTAAGCTCGAAACCCCTAAGCCCTAACGCTACACCCGAGACTATCTGCACATACCACAGGCTGCCCTTGGAGCAACCCTAAACCCCAAAACCGTTCCCTAAACCCTAAACCCGAAACCCGAAACCCTAAACCCTAAACCCTGAACGCACCAAGTGCAGATTGAAGTGTGCCCTCCCCTGCACCGGCTTTAATTGAGGCGTCACAGGGGGACGTGCAGACTTCGTTCTGGGCCTTGCTTGGTAAAGGGTTTAGGGTTCAGGGTTTAGGGTTTAGGGTTTAGGGTTAAGGGTTTAGGGTTGAGGGTTTAGGGTTTAGTATAGGGTTTAGGGTCTAGACACCTGGATGCAAAAACACAGGGTTTCGGGTTTAGGGTGTAGGCTTTCGTTCAGGCGTGCCCGGGGTGTTGCGGGGCCGCTGAATGGGTATTCCCTCCTTGAAACCCCTAAGTCTTAAACTTGGGATGTTCCCCCCCCAAAACGAAATGTTTTTAATAGGGATTAGAATAGGGGGGGGGTTCTATAATCCCTATCCGGGACTGTTAGTGTAAGGGGGAACATCCCAACCTTCCACCCCAAACCCTGAGGGTTTTGGACCCTCAGCCCTAAACCCTAAATGGGAAAAGTCCAGGTCCGCACCAGTACCTAAACCCTAAACCCTAGACCCTAAACCCTAGACCCTAAACCCTAAACCCTAAACCCTAAACCCTAAACCCTAAACCCTAAACCCTAAACCCTAAACCTCTGGCTCAAGTTTCACTTGCGGTCCGCTTGCCGGGTGTTTTTGAGGGCGCCAGGAGCTCAGTCCACACCTTCTGGGGAGTCGCAGGAAGTTGGCGGTTTAGGGTTTAGGGTTTAGGTTTTCGGGTTTAGGGTTTAGGGTTTAGGGTTTAGGGTTTAGCGTTTAGGGGCCACACTTCTTGGGCAGGAGCGAGAGGGTCGTGTTGTAGGTGGTCTTTGGCATCCTAAAACCTGAAGCCGAATCGGGGTTTCCGAAAATAGGGGTGTCCTTTTTGGGGTTCCTTCAGGAGGATTATCTAGTATTTTGGGGGTAAAAGGGGTACCCTGTTTTGGGTTCCTTCAGAAGGATTATGTCAGGGACTTTTCCTTTGTGCCTTTGGGTTTGTAACCTTGAGTTTTGGGCCCCTAAACCAGGGAATATGGCGCTTAATAAGGGTATTTGGGGACCCCAAACCTAAGGTTACAAACATTAAGGGCACAAACTTAAAGTCTTTGATTATGTCGCATTTTGGTGGTATATAAGGGGTACCCCTTTTTCGGAGTTGTTCCTGGCTTGGGCTCCTTGCAGACGCCTGGCTGCATCTGAAGTTGGACCCCTAAACCCTAAACCCTGAACCCCAAACCCCAAACCCCAAACCCTAAACCCTAAACCCTAAACCCTAAACCCTAACCCTAAACCCTAAACCCTAAACCCTAAACCCTAAACCCTAAACCCTAAACCCTAAACCCTAAACCCTAAACCCCCCTCCCCCCCAACTCCCCAGCGCCAAGTCGATGGTCCATGGAACCATGGCCACGTTGCTCTCCGTGAAGACTTGGCCTCAAAGGCCCGCTGTTAAGGGGGTTTCTGTGGGTTGTAAAGGTTTAGGGTTTAGGGTTTCGGGTTTAGGGTTTAGGGTTTAGGGTTTAGGGTTTGGGGTTTAGGGTTTAGGGTTTCGGGTTGGAAAAAGGGCGAGGCAGGCAGTGCTGAGGAGACCTGCTGCAAAAAGGGGGGTGAGGATTTAGGGTTGAGTTGCAAAATGAGTTGCAGAAAGGGGTTGAGGATTTAGGGTTTCGTGGTTGCTTTTTCGGTTCGAGCCGTGAGTTTTTCTAGCCCAGCCGCGTGAAGCTTGTGAGCACGGCTTGTCAGGGTCATGTCAGGCTGGGGGCAAAAGGGCTCAGGCTCACGGGTTCATAGAGTCTGAGCACTTGTCGGAACTCAGTGCCTAATCAGTTTAGGACTTAGGGTTTAGGGTTTTTTTGTAATGCGGGTTAAGAGCCTGGTTATGACTGTCTTTATGGAGCCTTGCAAACTCAAGTCGAACCATTTGCGATACAAGTTTTTAGGGTTGAAAAGGGCTTGCTTGTTGTATTGCTGGCTGTGATCTCCAGCAAGAACTCGCAGTCCGACCTAGAGATCTTCGAGCAATGGGAAACAGAAGACCCTTCATCCTACCTAGAGCCCCTAATCCCTAAACCCTAAACCCTAAACCCTAAACCCTAAACCCTACAGTAAACCCTAAACCCTAAACCGTAAGGTGCCTAACTTGAGGACTGGGTCGGTACTGAGGGTCGGTACATTTCCGGTTTTATGAGAGGGGAAAAGTTGCTGGCTATGCAACAGTAGTGTAGGGGTTAGGGTTTAGGGTTTGGGGTTTGGGGTTTAGGGTTTAGGGTTTAGGGTTTAGGGTTTTAGGGTTTTAGGGTTTAGGGTTTAGGGTTTAGGGTTTAGGGTTTAGGGTTTAGGGTTTAGGGTTTAGGGTTTAGGGTTTAGGGATACCCTAGCCCCGGAGGCGCAGAAAGGGACTGTCTCCGCCCCCAGCTGAGGTACGTAAGTCTCCGCAACAACCCCAGCGGAACTGTGAGTGGTTGGGATGGCGATCCCGGTCCAGCCGGTCACCTAATATTCCAGGAACCTCGGCTTTAGGGTTTGGGGTTTATGGAGTCTTAAGGGTTTCGGGTTTAACCCTAAACCCTGAACTCCACACAACGCATAGCTGTGCGCCCTCAGATAATCCCAGAAAACCTCAAGCCCCAAACCCTGACCCCGAACCCCAAACCCTAATCCCTAAACCCTAAACCCTAAACCCTAATCCCTAAACCCTAATTAAACCCTAAACCGCGCCTAGAGACACGAAATTGACCCCAAACTGGCCCAAGATCCAGCTCTCTTGGGTCGGCTCAGTTTAGGGTTCATGGTTCCTGGTGCTTCCAGATCGTCCCAGAAAGACGGTCCAGGGGTTTCGGGCTTTAGGGTTTAGGACGCGGTGTTTACAAAGATTAGGCCCACAGCAACCGCAGAAGTAGCACGGGCAGTGTAGTTTCTTGGCTTGTTGTCATGCACTTTCCCCAAATCCCTAAACCCCCTCCCCCTCCCGCTGCATCAAAACAATCATCTTTCCAAAGGAAAGGGAAGGCCACTACCTCATCTCGACTGAGCAGTGGCCTCGGCACTACTTTCGGCTTGTCAAGGACCACCCCGGGTAGGAACATCAGGGGCTGAACCCGACGACTTAAACTCTTACCCTTGGGATGTTCCCCCTCATACTGCCGTCCTGAATGGGGATCATAATCGGGGTACCATAGTTAATCTTATTCCCTATAAAAACCCCTATATAGACCTTATGCCTATAGGCCTCTAAGAGGCCCCTACAGACCCCTAGGGTCCATGATATGGGTCCCTTCTTGGGAACATCCCTACAGCCCTGGGTCTATTTATGACTTCCTCGAGGTCTCTTTTCTACGTCCTGGCAAGCCCAGCTTTAAAAAGTGGATTGTGTACGTTTAGGGTTTAGGGTTTAGAGTTTATGGGTCCTTTCTTGCTATGGCACGAGCCCATGGCAGCTTGAGGCGAGTAAGAGAGTCCTCTAAGAAAAAGGGTTTAGGGTTTAAGGTTCAGGGTTCAGGGTTCAGGGTTCAGGGTTTAGGGTTTAGGGTTTAGGGTTTAGGGGTGACAGGACGAGTTTAGCAGCTACCTGCATGTTGTCGGCAAGCGCGGGGAGCCTGGCCGAGCGGGGCAGTTTGTCATCGAGGACCAGGGGGCGCAGTGTTTTGCTTTTTGTTACCGCCTAGCGCCATGATTCATGTTCGGGTGTAGAAGGCTTAGGGATTAGATTTAAGGATGAGAGCTTGCAGGGTCAGGCTGAGGGGTGGGAGTTTAGTGCTTGGTTTTTTTTCTTGCCGCCTGCCTAGGGATGGGGTTTAGCGTCTTCGGCTTTAGGGCTTCAGGTTGAGAATCTCCCAATATCTCCACTTCGGGTTAACGGTCTACTTGGAGGTTCATGGTACTTATACTGTACTTACAACCCACTTATACGCCCCTTATGTGCCCCAAGCTTACAAGTGCAGTTATAGCTGGTTAATAAGGGTCCATGAACCTCCAAGGAGGGTCTAGGGTGTAAGTCTCAAATAAGACGTGGTCATTGGCCTGCTCGTAACTTCTGGGCCCTTTCGTGCCCTAAGCTGTGAGGCAAAGCATGTTCGTTTAACATTTCTTTTCAGAGTACTTCGGGTCGACCGGAGGGGGGGGGGGCATAGGGGATCTGGGGCGGCAGCAAAAGACTGCGAACCTACCCTGACAAGCCCGCAGCTCTGCGGTTGTAACAGGGTTCGTAAGGGAGGGGGGTTCAAGGGAGGTTTGTAACCCAAGGTTGCTTAATACTCCCCACTACTCCCTAAGGCTCCCTAACCCCAATAGGGGGGGTGTACGAAGATCAGGGACGTCCAATAGAGACCCCAAATAGTAGGATTCCCTTGTCTAATAAGGCACCCCTGATAATCCGGTTTAGGGTTTTAGGGTTTAGGGTTTAGGGTTTAGGGTTTAGGGTTTAGGGTTTAGGGTTTAGGGTAGGTTTTAGGGTTTAGGGTTTAGGGTTTTAAACCCCCATCTGATCCTCTTTGTTCCTCTTTACAACGTTCAGGAGATGCCCGGATACTTCCTGATCTCGTCGAAGCAGTGGCCAGACTGGTTCCTCTTCGTGGATCCTGGGCACTGCAGGGTCTAAGACCCTAAACCTGGGGTTTAGGGTTTAGGGTTTAGGGTTTAGGGTTTAGGGTTCAAGCGTTTAGTTCTGTTGGCTTCATCTCTCCTTCACCAAGGTCATGGATCTAATGCTTAGGTGTTTAGTTTAGTTGGGTTTAGGGTTTAGGGTATCCAAAGACCAAAGACTTCAAGCCAAACGGCAACGCCGAGAGGAAAGACTTCAACGTGTAACTGTCAGGTTAGAAGGAGTTAGAGATGTTTCAAGTACATAAGCGCGCAGTCGCCGACTTATGGTCTGCAGTGCATTCGTCAGATGCTTTCCAATTCGCTGAGACACATATTCAATGAACACGCCTACAGTGGCTGAAAAGCAGCCTTGGCAGAGAGCGAGGCCCTCGAGAGCCCTCGTTGAAAAAAAGGGTTTAGGGTTTAGGCTTTAGGGTTAGGGGGTGTAGGGTTTAGGATTGGTTTTGTTAGGTTGGCTTCTCTACTTCACGAGTTCAGGGGATCTGAACTGAAACCGATACCACTTCAGGAAGGGGAAACGAAACTCCACATATACTTTGTTTGTGGGTTTGGGCCATTAAGCTGCATAACCTAAACGGGCCTGACAGCATTCGCGGTTGCGATGGGTTTTGCCAAAGGGATGTATGATTCAGCCAACTTGTGAAGGGACACCGGCCGTTTGTGCTGCTTCTTGAGAAGTAGGGTGATTCTCAAAAGTGTGGGTGCTTCTGTAGTCTATAGGGACCGTACTGAACCTCAGATCCCAAGCCCTATGCTATGCACCCTTAACCCCTCGAAGCCCTAAACACTAAAGCTGGGACCTTGCTGTTTCTCCAAGGGTAGTTCCATGGTCTCTTAATATGGTCCCTTATCTTCTTCAAAGGGTTCTGGGCCCGTGGGTTGTATGGGGTATAATTATAAGGGTTCCCAAATACTGAATTATAAAGGGCTCATACTAAGAAAGCCATGTAGCTACCCTAAACCCCAAACCCTGAACCCCAAACTCTAAACCCTAAACCCTAAATCCTAAACCCTAAACCCTAAGCCCTAAACCCTCCAGTGTGGCTGGTCTTTCTGGTGGGTGGCAAAAAAGAGCCTTTGTTCTAAGGACGAGCTCGGCCGGACTCTTGGCCGAACACTGAGGGGCCCTAAACCCTAAACCCCAAACCCCAAACCCCAAACCCTAAACCCTAAACCCTAAACCCTAAACCCTAAACCCTAAACCCCTAAACCCTAAACCCTAAACCCTAGGCCACTCGAGATACCAGACCCCTGAACTCGTGAACCCTAAAGTAGGGATCCCTTTTCAGACACCCGCCCAAAAACACGGACACCCAAGAAAGGACTACGATTCTCCCCAGATAACCTCACAATTAAACCTTTGAGCATTGGGGCATTGTTTCTTTCCCCCCCCCCCCCCCCCCGGGGTTTGGGGATCTTTGAGTCTTAAAGTCTCGCGTTTTCGGTTTCGGGTTCAGTGCTTTCGGTGGTTGTTTCAGACCCCCCCCCCCCCCTCCATCCGATACCCTCCGCCCTGGCCAGTGTTCAGACCCTAAACCATCCTAAACGCTAAACCCTAAGCAACAGCTTTAGGGTTTAGGGTTTAGGGTGGCGAGAAAAAAGACGAACGCCTGCCTGCCTTCAAGCTGCCAACGGCTGGAGCCTCCTGCTGGGGGTATACGATAGTCAGGGACATAGGCCCCCAAAATAGTAGGATCCCCTGAAATATTCGGACCCCAAAACCCGAAACCCCTAAACCCTAAACCCTAAACCCTAAACCTTAAACCCCCGAAACTCCCTAAACCCGAAACCCCTAAACCCTAAACCCTAAACTTTAAAGCCCCGAAACTCCCTAAACCCTAAACCCTAAACCCTAAACCCTAAACCCTAAACCCTAAACCCTAAACCCTAAACCCTAAACCCTAAACCCTAAACCCTAAACACCCGAAACCCTAAAAGCCTCAGCAGCACAGGTTGAGAGCCGAACCGGGGGATCCCGGCAGCAAGGGCCACTTCCTGCTGAACCGGAAGTTTTCGCAGGAGCGGAGCTATGTTAGGGTTTAGGGTTTAGGGTTTAGGGTTTAGGGTTTAGGGTTTAGGGTTTAGGGCTTCAGCCCTTTGAGAAGCCCTTTGATCCAAGGGAGCTGAAGGAAAGACAGGTCTGGGGGTTCTGCACCCAGCCGGTAGTGTTATTGAAGTAGGGTCTTTATGACTGTACTTGGAGGTTCATGGGTACTTAGTGCCCGAATGATAACTGTACTTATAAGGTTCCTAAGTCCTCTACGCAGGTCATAAGCAGTTGTGATTGGGGGTTATATGTACCACGAACCTCCTGGCAGGAACCCTATGTGCACTCACCAAGAAACAGAAACATGAGCCCTGTTTCAGATCCTGTGCTTAGAACAAACAAAGGTCTTAACACGTAATTAGCTGGCTCTATTCATAAGCCCAGGGCACTTGTTCAAAAGTCTACGCCTGAACGCGAAATCTGAGCCGCAAACCCCCCTCTACCGCCAGAGCCTGAACACCCTAAACCCTAAACCCTAAACCCTTAACCCTTAACCCTTAACCCTTAACCCTAAACCCTAAACCCTAAACCCTTAAACCCTAAACCTAACACCCTAACACCCTAAAGCCCTCAACTCCTACCTGAAGCCAGGACTCAGATGGCCTGTCGCGCCGACCTCAGCTGAAGTTCCCTAAAGCCTCAGGCAACGACTTGCCTGTAAGGCCCCCCAAACGCCCATGGGCAGCGCCAAGGTCTGGGGCCCCAACGCTGGTTCTGTGTACTTAAGATAGGCTGGTGAAGCGCCCCCATTCAGCATCAATTCCAAAAGCAGCCCCTGGATGCCGCTGGAACGTCCGTTCCGACCCTCGGCAGAGCCCGAACTGCTCCCCACAGAAGCCAAGGCTGCCGCCGATAATTCAGACCATGCGCCTCTGCTGCAGGGGAAAGAGCCCAAATTCCGAAGCCCCCCAAGCCTTGCTGCGGGAGGCCATGTGGTTCTATCTATATATATATATATGTTAATACATACATGTATAATATATATATATATATAATTTACATATCATATATACATATAGATATATTTATATTATAACCCCTTGACGGGTTACTTAAGGTGGGTGGGGGGAACTTTATATTTCCTGATAGGAAAGGGTGCGAAGCTCGAAGCGTAGGGAGATTGCTGGGAGGGTGGCTGCGGGGCGTTGCGAAGAGCTTTGTTCTCGAGCCCAGGGTCAAGCTGACATGTTGCTTTCAATGGGAGAGTTAGGGTTTAGGGCTTGTGTTGCCAAAGGGTTTGAACCCTACCGAATTCAATAGATGCGACTGCCTTGTGCGCAAGTGAAGCGCGAAGCTCGGAGCTTAAACCGCTTTCCTGTATCATCCATGAACGCGCTCTCTAACCCTTGCCGGCCTTTGTGCGAGTGTGAGAGTCGAAACCCAGAAACCCTCTACAGCCCTAAGCCCAAACACCCGCAAACTCAGAAACCCCAAACCCCAAACCGTCCTTGCAGAGATAAGCCCACGAGTCTTCAAACTTGGAGGTACCTGATTCACAACAAGGACAGGGAGCATTCGGCTGCGATGTCCCTTCTGAGCAACCAGAAGGAAGAGGCTCGAACGCCCAAGCCCTTGTAGGCCTATGAGGGTCTCGGGTGTGCAGAGTTGATTTAGGGCTTAGGGGTTTAGGGTTTAGGGTTTATAGGGTTTATAGGGTTTGTAGGGTTTATAGGGTTTACAGGGTTTACAGGGTTTATAGGGTTTATAGGGTTTATAGGGTTTATAGGGTTTATAGGGTTTATAGGGTTTATAGGGTTTATAGGGTTTATAGGGTTTAGGGTTTAGGGCTGGAGGGGTTTGGGGTGTAGGATTCCATTTTTGGGGTGGATGAGGTATCAGAAAAGCGCTGCTCTTTTATGCCTCCCGATACTGGGGGCCGAAGACGGGATATCATTCGAGTGCAGAGCTTTTTTGCACTAGGCCTTGTAAGGATGCGCGTATCTATTGTGTGTTGCTATGAGTAGTATGCTTCCTTTATGGTTGTTGTGGTTACTCTGGCTGCTAAAGTTACATTGACGCTTACGATGTTTGTCATGTTTAGTTATCATGGTCATTTCGGTTTCAGAGGCACGAGTTAAGCCTTAGCTTTCCCTGCTCTGATTTCCGGGCGTTTTGGAGCCCCAAGAGAAGTGAGTATGAGGGCTACCTGCATGGATCACCCCTAAATGAAAACCCTGCACACAGAGCCCGGAAACCAGACCGCCCCTAAACCCCAAAGCAAAAACCCTGTAATGCCAGCCTCAGTCAGGAACCATAAAGTAGCAAGCAACAAGAACAAGCCTCAGCCCTCCCATTGGAGCCACACCCCCATGAAGACCACCCCAAACCCTAAACCCTGGACCCTAAACCCTAAACCCCAAACCCTAAGCCCCAAGCCCCTAAACCCTAAACCCAAAACCCAAAGCCCTAAACCCTAAACCCTAAACCCTAAACCCTAAACCCTAAACCCCTCCCTCTTCGGCAGGTGCGAGCGCGCGAGGTGGCCGTCCTCCAGGCGCAGATGGCCAGCGAGCGCGCCGCCTCTGAGGCCACCTTGGACGACACCCACCGTGCCTTGGAGGACAAAACAGGGTTTAGGGTTTAGGGTTTAGGGTGTAGGGTGTAGGGTGTAGGGTTTAGGGTTTAGGGTTTTGTGGCGAGGAGTCCTGCTGCAAAAGGGTTGCCAAACTTAAAGAAATGTAAGATATGCATGCATGTATAGAAGTGCCTTTGCAGTTTTGGGGGGGCGGGGGGCCGAGGGCCTATGGAGGAGTCTTAGGGTCTGTAGGGCACTATGTGGCTTCTGTGACTGCAAGGGTGTGTTCTATGGATTTACAGGCCTTATGGCCTTCTTGAACCCCCCAGACCATGCGTGGGCTGTTTAGGGTTTAGGGTTTAGGGTTCAGGGTTCAGGGCTTAGGGTTAGGGTGCGAATGACCTTATTCCTGGACATTGTGCCCACCCATGCCAGTGAGCATGCCCATCACTTCGGGCACCCCTGCTGACATGACGCGTGCACCTTAAGGGCCGTGCACCTTCCGCATAGGGTTTAGGGTTTAGGGTTTCGGGTTTAGGGTTTAGGGTTTAGGGTTTCCTGACCATTCCCGGCCTCCCCAAGCCCGGATGCAAAAGGGCTCAGGGTTTAGGGTTCAGGGGTCGCCTGATGTAGGCGAGCATGATGAAGAGCGGAAGGCTCTCCACAAAGAGTGCCCGAGCTGCATTGTGCCTCAGACCTGCTGCTACATCCCAAAGGCCCAGCAAATCCAGCTCGTATCTTCAGCCAAGTCTAGGAGACACTTCTTCCCTTTTGCCCCCTAAACCCTAAACCCTAAACCCTAAACCCTAAACCCTAAACCCTAAACCCTAAACCCTAAACCCTGAATTTTGAACCCTGAACCCTGAACCCTGAACCCTGAACCCTGAACCCTGAACCCTCAAGGGTTCCCTTCTGAATGCACCCCAAGAAGAGCCCCAAACCATGCCCTTGGCTGATTCCTGGATGACTAGTTTTAGGGTTTAGGGTTTGGGGTTTAGGGTTTAGGGTTTGGGGTTTAGGGTTTAGGGTTTAGGGTTTGGGGGGCTTGCTGCTGCCCGGGGGGGCTGCCAAAAATTTGCAGTGTGGCGCCAGGTTGCTTTCGTGCCTCAGAAGGAATCCGCTCTGGCCAAACTCGACATTGGAGCCTGCTTTCTATATCCCCCTTTTTTGTTTACATAAAACCCAAGAGGGTATTCAACATATTCTTTTTAATAAGGTTCCAAGGGGAGGAGAGCTTTTGGGGCGATGAATTTGTCCCTTAGGCTGGGGAAGTCCGGAAGGGTTTTTGGGTCGGCTGTTGCTGAGTTGTGCGCTTTTCCTGGCCGTCGTTCACTTCGTGGTACTGTACTGTAACTTTAGATCCTTACCTTTTTTGGGGTTTATTGGGTTTCTTATTAAGGCAGCTAAAAGTTTAATTTATAGCTACCCTCCTGAGTGCAGCCAAGTTCACAGTGCATTGCAAGCAAGGATGCAGCAGGAAAGGTCAACTGCGCAGAGCGTCCTCGAAGAGCGAGATCGCAGACACAGCAACGAGCCTTGGCATCATGTGCTTTGGTTCAAGAAGTCTTGGGCAAAGCTTAGGATTTAGGTCGACGCAGGCAGTAGTACAGGGTCCTGCTGCAAAACGAAAGAGGTCGCAATGAGTTCAAAAAGGGGTGAGGGTTATAAAGGTTTAAGGGTTTGAAGTTTAGGGTTTAGGGATCAGTTTGCCTGTGACCGAGCTGCTGGCATACGAGGCTCGCTGCAAAAAGGGTTTAAGGGATCCTGCACCTCCCCCTCGCCCTGGCTTCCTTCAAGAGTTTCAGCCAGTGGGCAAGGGTCATGAGTCCGATAGGTTCTAAGTCATAGACTAGGGAGGATTAGACATGGACGATTAGTCGTCACGCTGCCTTGGTGAATGTCATTCCCTTGAAAGTAAACCACACTTGCTCCCCGATTCCTCGCATGAACCTACGATCGCTGTGTTACTCAAGCTGTAGAGCCTTCTCTCAATCAAGCTCGTCCCGTGCCTCATCTCACGGCATCGTTGTGAGAATGCCCTGAACTTGTATTCTGCACTGAGGACCTGGCTCGTAAAGCTGCTCAGCTGCAACCTAAACCCTGAACCCTAAACCCTGAACCCGAAACTGCAGGGCCGTCGCTGCAACCGAAGCACCACTGCCCCGAGTCCCGCCACGAAAAAACCCTTGAGTTCCCCCGAAATCTGCCCCCCCCCCCCCCCCCACCGAGAAAACAGAGTCTGAATCTAACCCTAAACCCGTACTTGCGAAGGGACTTCAACTCAGCTAGGCAGCAGGCGAGAAAACCCCAAACCCTGAAACCCCAAACACCCCAAACCCTGAAACCCCAAATCAGAACCTACCATTCTCTTAAGAACCCCCGAAACATAGAAGACACCAATGCCAATCCCTATGTTGCCCTTATAAGGAAGCACATCTTCGATATATATATATATATATATAGTATATATATATATATATATATACATTTTTTTTTTTTGGGGGGGGGGGGTTCTCAAGCAAATAGTAGCCGTCAACCCTAAACCCCAAAAAGGGAAGAAGGGTACTATCCAACTCTACTTTTGTTTGGGGGGGGGCGGAGGGCCGTGGGTGGGGGTTTCTTAAGCAAATACCCTAAACCCTAAACCCCTAAACCCTAAACCCTAGACCCTAAACCCTAAACCCTAGACCCTAAACCCTAAACCCTAAACCCCCCCCCCCCCTCTCCCTCTCAATCGTGCCGAGGATGCCGAGCACAGAGCCGCCCTTGCTGCGGCGGCCTAAGGTCCGAAGTCACACTTAGGGTTTAGGGCTTTAGGGTTTAGGGTTTAGGGTTTAGGGTTTGGGGTTTAGGGTTTAGGGGGGTTCAGGTGTGAAGCTCCTGAGGAGTCAGCGGTTTTATTTTGGGCTTTTGGGCCATTCAGGGGAAGCCCACCACACCGAAGCCACGGGCACCCCCTAAAGCCTTCCACCCGATGCAAACCCTCCACCTTATGCACCCTAAACCAAAGCAGAGAGCGCCTGCCAAAGACCCTAATCCCCAAACCCTAAACCCTCAAACGTCCAGCTATGCGGGCGCCAAAGAGCCCGAAATTTCCCTTCCGAAGACCTCCACACTTGCTGTTGGTTAGTAGGGAATGAGGGCAGGAGCTACCCGATATTATCCCTTAATTTCAAGGGTATACATAGGGGGATATAGGGCACCTCATTCCCTCATTCCCTGCTAACCGACAGTAAGCACAGACACTTGGAGCTTGCGCACCCAAGCCCCAAGGCTCTGCGGCGGCAAATGGCATCTCGATAGCATCTTGGGATCAGCGCTGTTGTGTTTAGGGTTTAAGGTTTAGGGTTTAGGGTTTAGGGGACTTGGCGTTGAAGGCCTAGGGTTTGGGGTAACAAGGCTTGCCTGAACCTGGAACCTCCGAGACACGGGCTTAGGGTTCAGGAGCTGTGCCTTGCGAGGAGGGGTGCTAGAGCAGGTGAAGGCCAGGACTTAATTATTTGGGACCCCCACCCTCAACAATATGGGATTTGGGGTGTTCAGAGCCATTGAATTCATTTAATTTGTTTGCTTCATTTAATTCAGTTACTTCATATGTAGTTATTCATATTATATATTTACTTCATTTACTTCAGCTACTTCACATTGAATTCATTTAAGTCATTTGATTTAGGTGATTTGGGCTGAGTGATCAAGACGGAGCCTCAGCCGTCCCGGGTTAAAACAGCAAGGCTTTGGTTTAGGGTGTAGGGTTTGGGGAGCATGTAGGGTGCCAGGCACCTCAGTGCTGGTTCAACTCAGGGTTTAGGGTTGTATGAGGCTCAGCTTAGGAAGCGGAGCCTGGGTTCAAAAAAAGGGGTTTAGGGTTTAGGGTTTAGGGTTTAGGGTTTAGGGTTTAGGATCCCTAAACCCTAAACCCTGATCCCGGATTCCTTTGCAAACCCGAAACCCCAAACCATCGACACCATCGGCCAGAGTGTAACCAGCAGACTTGCCGAACTAATCAAGAGATTGGGATGAGAGGTTGAGGGTTCAGGGTCTAAGGTTTCACTCCAGACCCCCAAACCCTAAACCCTAAACCCTAAACCCTAAACCCTAAACCCCTAAACCCTTAAACCCCTAAACCCCTAACCCCTAAACCCTAAACCCTAAACCCTAAACCCTAAACCCCAAACCCCAAACCCTAAACCCTAAACCCTAAACCCTAAACCCTAGCGCCACTCTGCAGGAGGAGGCCCTCGAGGATGCTGCCGCACACCTCAAGAAAGTGGAGTGGAACCATGCGTGTGAGGCAAGCTCCGGGAAGGGTTTTGAGGGTTTTCAGGGTTGTTAGGGTTTTTTGGGGTGTAGGGTTTTTAGGGTTTTATAGGGTTTTCGGGGTTTTAGTTTTTTTTTTTTTTTTCTTTAGGGTGTTTGGCTTGACAGCTTGGGGGTACAAGTTTTGTGGTTTAACGCTTGGTGCTTTAGGGTTTAGGGCTTAGGGCCTATGGAGAAGAGGCAAAGGCCAAGAAGGTGGTGGGTGTAGTGTTATGCTGCTGTGGTATAAATGCAAGTGTACTTATGACCCAATAGGGCACTTAGGGGGGCTTATAAGTGGGTTATATGTACAGTAACCCTAAACCCTAAACCCTAAACCCTAAACCCTAAACCCTAAACCCTAAACCCTAAACCCTAAACCCTAAACCCTAAACCCTAAACCCTACACCCTAAACCCTAAACCCTAAACCCTAAACCCTACACCCTACACCCTAAACCCTAAACCCTAAACCCTAAACCCTATGAGTACAGTTACAATAGGTGAATAAGTACCATGAACCTCCAAGCAGAGGTTGAAGCGCTGCGGGAGCTGCACAAGGAGCCTCATTCCGACTTGGGGGGGGGGGCCCTTGGGGGGACCTGCTGCCAACAGGGTTTAGGGTTTAGGGTTTAGGGTTTAGGGTTTAGGGTTGAGGGGTTCCCTAAACTACCTTCAGCCTGGCGGGTCTGAGGCGAGGGCTCCAGGGTGCCCCTGTGCAGCCAGCGAGGTTTGCTGGCTTTCAAGGGTTCTGATGTATGGGCCCGTGGGTTGC